GCCCCGGTATTGCATGCCCTAGTTAGTACTTCTTTAAACTAATAATGACTATGTACACATACAAGTGGTTGGTCTGAGTAAACGAGGAATGGACCCAACGAAATCAAAGACAAATTGTGTGACTGCGATAGCAAAGCTTTTGATTTGTTTAAACAATGATGAAATGAAAAATAAACATTTTGTCACAAATCACTGTCATGATCGACCGACATTGAATGCATTTTCCACTCTCTCCCAATTCCTCGATCGTCTTCTGATGTACTCCTCTTATGCAGTTCAAAAGATGAGACATCGTTGTTGGACTTGTTTGTTGTACCCAAGTGTTTAAATAAGAAACGGATATGAGTCAGGAAACCAACAGACGGATTCATATTCAACCCTCTTCCTTTCTGTGCGTCGATTAACTGTTTCGTCTCTGTGCATCTTGCACTGCACACATTCAAATATCCCCTTCGTTAATATCACAAATATAAATATCCTGCTGGAAGAGTTATCTCATAGACCAGCCTCGTGTCCTCACTAATATATTACGTATTATTAGTTTATGCATTCTGGAATGTTAAATGGACTAAAGCTTTGCATAGAACCCTGGTGCCTAGAAAAAAATATCAGTCAGTCAATATTCCTAAGGATCTGTCTCTACGATGAGAATAGTTCTCCAGATTGTTGATTGTGGTTAGATTTGATCAGCTAGTTCCGACACTCGAGAGTTGGGGAAGGGTCCTGACGAATCCCAAAGGTATTTATTAATATAGCACACCACGAATGGGTCGGCCACAACCAGCATCTTATCAGATGATGAAGACAGACAAGACCACAGAGATTGGATTACACAACAGCAGAACACGCCGAACAGAAATTCTGCCCCATGCCTTCTTACGCCACGACGTACACTGCAGTGCATTCTATCACATCCATCTCCCTCGTGGATTTGCACTCGCTGCTGTGAATTGAGAGTGACTGGAAATTCGTCAACCTCAAAATATTATTGCTTTCCCATCCAACAAGATGATGACGGCTGAATCACCTTTTGTTCCGTCAAGCCTTTCACTTCTACCACTTTGAATTACCAGCCACGACACAACCAATTCTCACAGCTCGCCACCATCTTATGTATTACAAAGTACAAACCAGTGTACAAGAGTGGAAATTGGAAACACTTTTTGAATTCTTGATCAACTGCTGACATTTCTTCGTGCCTTGTTCCTGAACTAGCGTTGGATATGAATCTAGAATCCTTATGCAAGAAATTTGATGGAACATGTATGGATTTGGAAAATTGTACGTAGCCGTTGTTTTTTTACAAAAATATCTGCTGACCAGTTGTCATTCAGGCATCATTGTCGGAAAATCCCAAAGCCAAAGAAATGCTGACAAATTTTGATTAATGTAAATACGCATGTGAGTACAATTGAGTACATATATACATATTTAAATATTTGAAGTTTTGAAGTGATGGTCTAGCTAAGAGTTCTGTTTGACATAGTGCCGAGTTAAGCCTTTGTAAATGTTCGATTCAACATTAGCAGGGATGATATTAATGATTAGTGATATTCAAGTATTGTCCATGGTCGAGTTATTTATTGCAGATAGGGACTGAACTGGCTGAGAGATGCGTATGTGTAGATATGTATGTATATACGTATTCAGCTGCATAGCTCAATGAATGACCAGACCATACTAAACTACTTTCAGATTGATATTAATAATGAATAAACTAATACGCTTAATGATTTATTGTAAAAAATCAAACATATTTGACATATTTGCTCCAATTTCTGGACACACTGGTTTGTATCTCACTTCTGTTGCTGTTTAATCATTCAAAACTAAAAATCATAAGATGGACTAGCTGTTGTAATGTAATTGTGAATAAAAATCTCACTGGTAGAATTTATGAGATACATTTACTAATCAAAATTTAACTAGTCAAGTTATGATTATGATTATTATACGGAGAGGGTGCACAGACGTGAACTTTCTATCTGTGTGTGGGCTGCGTTGGTAAGATTCATTTTTAATGGGTACGGGTACGGTCCAAATGTCTGCTCGCTTTAATGGATGAAAAAAGTATGATTGAAATAAAAACTAACGGCTGTTGTAAAAAGTGTGCATAATGACATTTTGCTCTAATTATGTATAATGTTCACTTTCAGATATGTTCTTTTTCTAGCCCAGCGTTACTAGCTACATGTTACTGGATAGTTCAAAAACAAAACAAGCGAAAATACAAAATTTCTGGATAAACGAATTAAGCTATCTCATTTTATTTTCAGTGCGATTTTTCAGTTATGAATTTATAATGGTTTACGTAAATGGAGATAGGAACTGTGATCATGATTGCAACCGCCCACACCGTCAAAATACAAATTGTTATTTCATTTCACAAAATCATGATTTATCTCGCCTTTGTTTTCGTCACTTCCTATATATTCCATTTCCATTATGCTTGTATAAACTGGACCTTCAATAACTTTTGCATAGAAAGAGTTCATTGTTCACATCCAGCAACTCAATTATACGAATGATGAAGTGGTTCACCATTTCTGCAGAGAGAACCAGTTCAATTTTTGAAGTCCGATACTGCTCAACTTTCTAATTCATAGGTCGAAGGAACAACTAGACAATTAAGAGAAGCAGCACAAGTTTGTAGTTGGTCCAAGAGTTGAAGCAGCAGCAACCGAAAAGTTTCCGGTTCCTCTCCTGCTTCTGGCTGGTGAGAAATTGCCCACTCATCATCATCCCCCATTGTCGTTCTATGATTTATGACTAATTAAAATCCCAAATTAAGCAGTCTGCATCCCCACTCTTTGTCTTTCTAATTAGTTAAGAAGACGAAATCCAGTTTGGTAACTGACGAGACTGGATGGCAACTGCATATCCACGTACATATGCATGTAACATGAAATTTTTGAATCCCAAATTATTTTCAACTTTAACTTGACTAGTTTTTGCAAAATTTACTCTGTGTTAAAGAGTTAGTCTCACTGCTCCGCTACTTTTATTGAATAAAGAGGACACAAGAAAGTTTCTTACTCGTACATATGCGATGAAACTTTCTTGATGCCACGACAGACCAATTATTTTCATCCCCGCATGAAGTCAGTCTAGGACAATTTCGGATTTCGTAAGTCACAATCATGACCATAAAATGATTCAATTTAATGGAACATAAAATTACAAAACTTAATGGAATATTAGCGACTGTTTTGTGTGATATATTTATACGATGATGAATGAAGTGCCCGAGGAGAAGGATAGACAAATGCAGGGCAATAATAACAGATAATGGCCGAGTTATTACCCAGCACAACACATTCAGTCCACAAAACTTCTGTCGGGTGTGGCATTTTGGTTCCACTTCAATTTCGTATCAAATTAAATCTTGGAGTCATATTGTGTGGTGTCTGCTGAGAGGACAACATGCTTCTGTTGTGAACTTAACTAAACTTAATTTTACAATTTTTGATATAATTGAGTATGATATTGCGTTTTTAAATTGCAACCACCACACCCTATGTCATTCCATAATTGTCGATAGACAGTGTAGATCTTTATATGATTTTATTTCTCAAATTATTTATATGGTCATCTCAACACTTTGCTGGGAAATCTGTTTATTTTTATTCATTTCTGAAACAACATAACGTTACAAATAAATGTTTAAATTCCCTTTTGTATGCATTCTTTTGTTCGTACTGTACCTCAAGGTAAATCAAATATGAAACAATGCGAGATGAATATTTGCATAGTGCAGAGTGGAACAGGAAACAATCCGCCTCATTTGTCAAACATCCTCCGTCTGACACTTGACAGTTTTAACTTTTGACTTTTGAACATTTTTCTGTGAGTGAGTGTTCTAAATGCCAGAACATCCGTGATAAATGAGGAATCTGCTTGCCTCTCATCTCGTAATATTCGTCTGTACATACAAAAATGCGTACACCTTACGAGCCTGTTCCAGTGCCAAGTCAACATTTTTCTCCAGTATTCTCCTCTCTTATTGTTGTCATTTTTTTAAAGATAAAGATGGATGACGTTCTCATGAGGTGAAAGGTCGACACATGATTACACATTTTCTTATATATGTCTCTGCATGCGACGTATGTACCAACTTTTTTGTAGACTAGAAGTTGCGTACTACTGAAATTCGGAAAAGAAAATAATGTATTTTTAAACAGACATAGCACAAAATTGTCTGTATCGTGTAGTTGGTGTGTAGTAGTCCACATAAGAACAGAGTTGATCGATATGGCATGCCGTGAACTTTTTACTCTCTGAACAAAAAGATCAATATCAACAAATAATTAAGTTCCCCTAAGGTTTACCTTTGCTACCGTCACAGTGGATTTTTGTATGATACATCTTTCTCTTTCTACGAGGGCACAAAGTCGTGCTTCGTACAAGGAATGCTTTTCCAGGCGAATAATAAAACAAACACTGATTTTATATAACGCGTGTATTTAGTAACAACTTCCGACTTAGCAAGCAGGTAAAGTGTACAAATTGTACGTATATGCACATACATACACATACTAATATGTACATGTTGTACTGCACAATAGCCTTCATTGCGTATGGCAAACTAAGTATCATAACAAAATTAAGAAAGGATAGGGGAAGAGAGGGAGAGGAAATTTGGAAAACAGAAACATGATTTCACACAAAATCGTATTTCTTCAACCCATGTAGTGACCAAAGCCAACCACAAATAGAGTGCAAAGTCACGTCGGCTTGTCATGTCGATGTCAAGCTGGAGATTGAGCTGAAATGGTTCTGAACTGAACAGTGTGTGTATGACAAAAATGATCAGTAGTTACATCATCAACTGTATCAAGAGCAGTATCACAAGGAAACTGTTGGATAGGTCATCTTATCACTAATTTGAGTTCACCATACATATCCACATTCATTCTGAACAAGAAGCATGTTACAATTATGTATTTACAAAGTCCGATTCATAGAATGGTACAAGAAAAGAAACCCGGAAATATACTTACCAATTGTGAAGTAACAGTCAGAAAAATGCAGTAGGACACACACATACATTGAGACTTATTGTTTTAACAACTATGTATGATCTCTGGTAATAAGAGACACACTCATGACTCGAAAAAAGGAAGCCAAAGGCAAGTTCTAGTTCAGACAAACAACTCGAAGTCTTATTCTGCTTCACACTTGGAAGCAACTCTGTTTTCAAGATTCCAATCCAATCTCACAGATCAAATTTCACTTTCTGTGCCACCAACTCACTAGCCCTGGGTTTATAAGGATTACTTCATTTATGTAGTTTACTGCTTTAGAGGATTACAGTCACCTTTCTGCGGCATATTCCACGTTGTACATACACACACACGCTTATCCCTTCAGGCATCAAATTATATATAGTGCCAAGCAGATTTATGGGGGTTTGGAAGAGTGCGAATAATAATCCGTACAACATGAAAACTGTCACTTTGAAAATTTCATCATCCAAAATGCAAACTCTTTGCATAAAGTAATCCCCTGCTCCAGCTCCACTCAGGACTTCCGACGACCTGTCACTTCAAAACGTAACACAAACAACCACCCGGTTTACGAGTGGACAAGTTCAGCAAAGCTTCTAAACGGCACAGATTTGCATGTGCGCTGTAACTGCTAATTCCTGTTTGAATACTTGGACTGGAATGATCTTCTTGTCACGTCAATCATGTAAACTCGTCCGGATGAAATTTAGTCAAGTATGAATAAGTAAGTCCAACTTGTTATACAAAGCCAGTCGTAGTTCACACTCGTCCGCTAATTATTATTACGATATGATGGCACATTATTGCAAAGATGGGTTCACTGCCAGTTAGTTGAAATAATAGCAGACGACGCTGTTAAATACGACATGATATGATACCCCTTATTCAAGAGTTATTATTAACACGATGCGTAAAATACGGTATAATAATGCGTAAGACACGAGAAACGCATAATCTCTGTCACTGCTCTACTGGTGATCAAGGGTGAACACACACACACTCACTCAAACACTGAATCCCTTTCAGAAATGCAAATATTTTCGGCAATTACAACGATGCACATACTTTTCAAATGTGTGTTGGTTGTTGAATGTTTGCAGAGTGTGAGACCCGGCGGTGGTAAGTTTTAAAGAGCAGTGAGGCTTGTACGGTTTAGAAAGACGTGAAATAGCGACGATGTTCACCCCACGCACTCCAAACCTGAACTGAGCGTGGATCAATGGGAACTCGTGAAGCCTTTGAATGCCATGCAACTCACTCACTGTTTGTTGATCTCAGCGAACGTTGCCACGATCCCGAGTTCGATATGCTTCGAGTTCGGGGGATGAGCCATATGCAGCGCTCATGCGATCGCTGTGTCCGTCTGTCCGTTCTCAAACTCTCGAACACGCTTCAACTTTTTCGAATTATGTTTCCAGAATTGATAACCGACTTGATAACCGACTTGAAGTTAAGACTCTGTAATTGGTCACTACATGTGTCGTATGACGACCCCTATCAACTGGTGTTTGGTGAATCTTGGCTAATAAAGATGCCGAGGACATGTGTGTGTACACCTATGTAAATATGTGTGACCTCAAACAGCATGCAATCTCTCGTTAATAATTCTCTCCTTTCTTGTTAATACGGTTTACTTATTCGCATGACATAATACTTATTTCTGAAATATGTGTAATACGAAATATATCTAATTGAAAAATAATCACTATCGCTATCGCCCATAATTTTGTTTTCAGTGTCAAGATGGTTCAGTTCATATTAATAAGCTGTACACACAACATTTTTGCCATATTATGGGTTTTATATGGAAATGTGCAGCAGTTTTATGCATTTGTACATGATTATGGATTAGATTGAGATTATCACATATACTATTTTCTTTTATTGTCTCAATAATACGTGACACAATAAACACTCACTTTTATCTCATTCAGTAAGTAGAAGTTGTCGGAGTGAGCTTGATTTTTCGGAGAAAATTGCATTGACTAACCTTTTGCATAGGTGTTAAACTAAAATGAAGCTTAGATTCAGCTTTAGTTATTTCATACTCTTGGGCACTATCCTTCCTTTTGGAAGCACCAATTTACACCGGTCTAGAACTAAACAAGATAATTTCAATGCACTCGTATTAGAACATCATCATCTTGACGACTTGCACAACTCCAAAGATATTTGGGGTCGAAAGGATGAGTTGGATAACGAAATTGAAGATTTTACGGACGATCCTAAAAATTTACGTTTGCCACTTGAAGTGATTCCGCTTCACTATTTTCTTGAAATTACGCCAATTTTGGAGGAAAATTCTAATCTTGGGAAGCTATGGACGGCTCCTGGGAACGTCAAAATTTTAGTGGAAGCCATGAAACCTTCACAAATTGTGACTTTACACGCTGTTCGACTTGAAATCTTAAAAGTTAAAGTAAGTTTAAAAATACTTTCATTTATATTTAGTCATTACATTTAAATATTTATGGAAATTTCGAAGCTTCGAGTAATTAAATACGGAATCGTTAATAGATTATTATTGCACATGCTTATTTATTTTGTTTTAATTTGACGAATTTCAGATTATAAATCGGAGCACGGGAAAAAATATAAAAGTTGTGCAACATGCTCAAAGTGCTCTTAGAGAAGATCAGTATGTTATCACGCTAAAGGATGAGTTGGTTGTGGGAGAAAAGTATGAAATCAGCTTGGACTTTGTGGCACCGGTATCCAGAAATCATCCAGATGGTCTTTATAGAAGTCAATACGTTGATCCAGCAACTAAAAATGTGTCGTAAGAAAACCATGATTATAAGCTTAAATTATTATTTTAAATGGTAACAAAATTATTATCACTATTTTATGAAGATATCTGGCTTCTACCCAATTTGAATTTTTCTCTGCTCGCCAAGCTTTCCCAGGTCAGTCTGGTTAAATCAGCCAAAATCAGGATTTTTAAAATGCTGTAACTTTTCGAATTTTAACCCGATTTCAAAAAATAAACCCAATTTGTGTTCAGAAAATATAAAATCCCTGAAAATATCAAAATTCATTTTTAAAAAACTTTTAATTTTCAAAAAATTATCGTTTTATGGGTTTCTAAAAATTGACAAATACTATGAAAATATCAAATTTTTAAAATTTTCAGGTTTTGATGAGCCTGCACTAAAAACCCCATTTGACATCTCCATCGGGAGGAGTTCAAAATTTCATTCCTTAAGCAATTCAAATTTAATATCAACAAGACCTCTGTAAGAAAAGCAAATGGTTGAGTGCCTACATGCTGAATATATGAATTTTTCATGCATGAATTATTTAGGAAGGGCTCTCCAGGATGGTTTATCGACTCGTTTAATACCACTGTCAACATGTCAACATACTTGGTGGCACTTGTTGTTTCAGACTTTACATTTTCAGAAGCTGACAGTTCCATCTTTAATGGAAAGCCAGTCAGAGTGAGTATTTGCAGTGTCCATTTGTAATACTTGCGTTCATATTATACCCACTTTTGGGATATATGTATGCCTACGCGGCTACCATTTTAAACTTATTACATATTTATTTGTCCAGAATGCATAAAGGGTTCGGATTTATTTTCTCCCCACTTTTTCCAGCTAAAAAACGTAAGCTAATTTCTCAAAACGGAGACACGCAGGGAATCAAATTTTTTTCTCAAACATACCTTTGTATTTGGTCTTTCGATCACCCACGTTAACCGTGTCCACAACTCTTTACTTGAAGCTAAGTGCTCATTTTTCCAAAGTGGTTTTCGATATGTGATTGCACTTTGCTTGAACTTTCATTGTTAGCTCTGTTGTTAGGCGTGGTTTTGGATCTTTATGCATATCCTACTTACGTATGGGTCATAGGTTCTCGAAAACCCCCACATCCGGATTTTTATCGGACCACACCCCTTCGCTCCAAACCGTTTTACCCTGCCCTACACAAAGCGGCATGGTAGTTTTTGCCATGTGAGTTGCACCACCATCTTGCATGAAAAGTACTGACTAACATATGGAATAAATTACTTGTTTCTCATGTTATCAAAGTATTTTGGTTGCATTTGCGCTATAAAATTCTTTGCATTTATTTTTGCTATATTTGTATAATACGGACAGTTGTCACGCTATGCGCAGAAAACTACCCGCTACCATAACTTTCGATACACATTTTGAAACACTCATGGGTGGTACAGGCGACTTTTTTTCGGTTTTGTAAACCATATGTTGTAGGTTCAATTCTGGATATGGCTCATTTGAGAATTCATTAGTCCTGAAGATATAACGACATAGTTCTTGACCTTGCCTTTTTCACCGAAATCGCCACTTTTTTGGTCTATTTCCCCAAATTTAAGAGGGTCATCAATGTTCCAATGACATGTGAATGTTTCCTGGGTTAGTTTATAAGCAATGTAACTCCAATTCGTCGATTTTGTAAACTTTTGAATTGTAGTATGGTAAATTTGCATGTTTATAACTTTTAGTCGTTTTTAGTCAATTAACTCTTTTCAACAATTAACTATCCAACTTCCCTTTCCTGATGAATCTTGAGCTTAATTGTTGTTTTTATAGTTGGTGACATCTTACTACGTCGCTTAAACCGTTTTTTGCATATTGAAAAATTTCTGCTGTTCCGTAGCCTTACCATTTTTCCGCCGCATCATAATTTTTCCGATTTTTTTAAAATGTTTAATTGCTGCGAAACTAAACTTTTTATCATGACTCTATGACGGTCATGATCTACCTATGGTATTGGACTACCCATGGTAAAATTTTCAAAAATAAGCACTAACAGGTTCAGAAATAACAGCTGAATTTGTGTCCGCGAGAGTAGTAAAAACTGACTGGGGAGAAAATAAATACGAACCCTTTACATATGTACTTATGTATATTGTAAATATATGCGTAGGTATATGGACCAAAGTACTTAATGGATCAGGGAGCAGGTGAATTTGGGGCGAATGTCTCAGCTCAAGCATTAGCTTTTTATGAAAAATATTTCGAACTGGAGTATCCACTTCCAAAGATGGATTCTGGCAAATATGGATGATCTATAAATTACACTTACAAGTTATTATTTTATATGTACATATTACTGTATATAATGTATAAATTTATGGGTACGTGCTTCTTCACAATTTGATAATTTGATAAATGTATGCAATAATACTGTTGGATCACATATGCAGCAGATTAATATGGGGTACGATTTTTTCTTCTTTTCATGAAAGTACTTACATTACTGATATGAATAGCCAATTACGTATTTATGTATGTATGTATCTATTACAGATCAATTTTTAGATAAAATACATGTAAGAAATAAAAATGTAGAGAATATCTGAGAATTGAAGATAGGAAGGCCCGTAGGAGTATGCAGTAGTATATAAATTGGTAATTTCAATCTCCTCCAGGATAGTCCTGGTCAAGGAGATGGGCTTTGTGGTAGTGTTTCTTCCTTTGCCGTCTAGTTTGGTGGTGGTGGTGACAGTCCATTGGCCTCACATCGCCTTGACTTTCCCAAGTTTTGAGGTGAAAGTGACCAGCTTTATCTTTATGGTGGTGGTGATGGTGTCTCCCTTTATTCATGTTGTACTGGGAACGCCGCTCCGATGCCGGAACATGTGAATGCGACCTATCTTCCAAGACTAATAATCTGTCTTCCTTCCCATTTTTGAGGTGGTTGTGACCGGTGACCTCAAATTGGAACTGCGGCTACTACTGGGACCATCAAAGCTCTCCTCAAAGTTGAAAGATGTTAATCAACGTAAATTAAAAACGACATGTATAACGACACGGTCACATACACAAATATTAAGTGGAGATGAGTGTAGCAGTGGATATTTCACACGAAAATGGCTAATTCTTATACACATGGTAGCCAGCTCACCGTTCAAGTCAAGTTTAGACTTGTTCAGATCCAGCAAATAATAATGTGTGTTGGGTGGTGCAAGCAAGCAGCCGCTGAACTGTCGTCCACCCCACTTCTAACAAGTGACTCATTTGATGAGTGGCCTTCAAGCAGACCTCCGAACTTTTTCTTCTCCAGAATTCAAAATTAAAGAAATTATCATAGGTGAGTACAGACTAGGTAATTATTTTGAAACATTAAACTTGTAGCTCAATTAATTCTCTCCTTCTGGTCTAATTAATACTATTATATATTTTTCAGCTTCACAATGGACAAGTCACCAGTGGTAGTGGATTTGGTGTCATCTGAGGAGGAGGAAGATGAATTAGTGATTCGGCCAGTGCTACTGGGAAAACGTTCTCGTGTCGTCAGCAGTAGCTCGGAGAGAGATGAAGGTAAATGTTGTTTTTCAATTAATAAATCTCAAATTAATTATTTCTTCTCCCATTTTAAAGTTATTTTCGATTAATGTGTGTTATTGTCATTGTATAGTTATTGATGATAACAATCTGGTTGCCAAAACTGGAGCAAAACGGGTTTCAAGACCGGCTCGAGATCAGAGAGGTCAACAACAAAGGACCCGGAGTCCACCCCCAACTCGTGCGCCAGGTCCATCTGGGGTGATTACTGTAGCAAGAGGGAGTGGACAAGCCGTGACGTAAGTTTCTCAACATTTTTATATTTGACCCTCGTTTATTGGGATAATCAAAATAGTTTTATTTTTAATTATTTCAGGATTCGTGTTGTCAGACAATATAGAAGAGTCAACAGCAAGAAGTCAACGTTGCCTAACAAATTCTGGTGCACATATTGTGTCGCAGGTTTTCCAAGAAAAGACGCACTGATCAAGCATGTAAAGACACATGAGGGGAAGTTCAAAGGAAAATCGTAAGTCACATAGAATTAATGAGTTACTGGTTAATGTCATTATTATGCATAATAAATTATTATTAATAATTTATGAATATGTTCAAAATTGCAGTTACAAGAATAAGAAGGGGGCTTATCCATGCCCGCATTGCAATGTGGTGTTTTCTTTCAGCACCAATCTGTCGAAGCATATCAAAGAGACGCATGTCGTTCCATCCCAACAAACCATGTAAGTACTTATATACAACTGTTATGAAATAATATGGGCAAAGTATGTAACTTTGTTTTTTGAACAGGACTCTGAATGATATGAGGAGTATAAATCCTTTAAATCACAATTCAGCGTTGAAGAATAGGGGCGAGGATCCGTTGGACCCAAATAACGAACAATTTGAAGTGGACGTCAAATTTATGCTCAATTGGGTGAAGGAATTTGCTGCCGCTAAACAGCAAAAAATTGACCTCAAACCAACATCGGTCTATTTGGCTGCGTCACTTGGCCCAAATTTTGACCCCAAAATACATAAACCATTCGAGTTTGTCAGGAGCGGAGATGAGGGGATCCGATTTTACATTGGTTTTAACTCTAAAACAATTGGACTTAATGACCATCATCTCCGGGTTCCCGATAATTCGCCGCTTGGGAAAGCTGACAAGGCTGGAGAAACGTGTGTCCTCCTAAAAACTTGGGGATTTGAGGGGGGCTGTCATGCCGAGAAAGTCAAACTTGCTCGTGCTTTGGAGGCATCCTTGATAGTGAGTTTCAATTGTAGTAAAATTTGTAATTGTCATTGCCTTTTTATGCATCAACATTTACTTATATTGGAATGTTTTTTTGGTTATTTCAGGAATTTGCCCTTACTAGCGAAGAATTTAAATCTAACGATGGGAGGGAGTGCAAGTTCTACAACCAGCAACGAGAACTGGGTGCGTTCTTTGAATGCTGCAGTGAGGAACAGCGGAGGACGGCGCTGGAGAAAGCAGTGAAAGGGGTCCCATTCATATGCTGTCAAGAGGACTGTCAATGCGAGGCGATTGCACATTTGAAGAGTGACGAGTGTAATCCAATCAAGTTCCCTCTAAAAGAAAAGAATGTTGTCAGGCCGTTGAACATTGGCTCGGCCTCAACAAAATCGCCCCAAACGACGAAAGTGGACAAGAAGAAGAAGAATCCTCTAGTCACCCCTGTCGAAATCAAAGTTGAAGTACATCGTCGTCTGAAAGACCTTCAGGAAAGGAGGCGACAAGACCCCGACCACGAACACCATGTATACTTTACGATTTTGGCAAGAAAACAAGATTTTCCTGGACTCCACACCGCCCGGGATGTATGTAGGGCAATAAACAATGGTGGACATGCCCAGGCCGTAATTTTATATTACGTGGGAAAAGGAGAACGTGATGGGATGAACAAATATCACAAACATAGTCCTGACCTCAGTGCCGTTGCAAAGAAAGCATCAGGTGGTGACTATTGGGTCATACAAATTGCAACCTTCAAGTGTTCTGGCTTAGAGGAAGCGGAGAAGTTAGAAGCAAAGTTGTTGGTAAGATCATAGTTTTGCTTTGTAATAAAAATTATGTTTAATAAATGTACATGCATACTTATTATTATTTGCATCTTTTTTGCAGATGTGTTGTTTACTGCAAGCTCGGAAGAAGATGACCGGAACAAATTTCAACCCAATCAATAAAGCCATGCCATGGTCGGCTTTCAACAAATTATCAGACGAGGAGAAACTGCAATCCGTCCAAATGGGAGTTGCTGGAGTTTCTCCGATAACTTTGCAAGGAGTTGTTCCCCATTTCACAATGGGAAAAATCTCATTTCCCGTCAACTTGGGCCACGCAATCAAGACCAATAAGATTTTGGATGTCACCAGCGTTGCCCCTTCTAAGGATTAATTGTTTTACATTATACATTCATTTCTGATTTATGACAAACTTATTAATTTGGACATATTTTTCGAAATATAAATTCTGGGTAGTTTGTTAGCAAATTAATTGTCTCTTTCCTCCTTCACTGCCACACTCATTTCCACTTCTACTTAATATTTGCCTACTTGAACGTCTCATTATATATGAAATTGGGTGTTATTTTGCTGTTCCTGGTTTTTTATATGGTACGCAGTAGATATAAAAATATGTATGTATTCGGAGTTCTACATAACGCTCGTCAAGTTATTTATTTACATTTATCTTTGGATTTCACAGGGGTATGCTAATCTCACATCAATTTACTTTTCTTACTAATACGACTTCTTTCCTGATGAATTATGTAGGCAATGGAAAACTATGGGCTAAATATTTACAGGTTGGACTGTAATTTTCATGAATCGTCAAAGATGTGTACATAACGCATTCTAATTTATTGACAGGGAATTTCTTTTACTAAACACTCCGGGAGTTGCGACTCAACAACAGATGAGTAGATCCTCATCAGTCATTGGTAAGAAATGGGAATTATTCTTGATTTTAATTTAGATGAAAATCTTTCAGCTGACAAATTGTCATTACCTGTAAAGCACATGAACTTGCACATCAGTATTGGGGCAACATTGTGACTTGTCATTGGTGGAGTAATATTTGGCTAAATGAGGTAAGTGAACTAAAAATGGTATCTGGACTTACTCTTGTACGATACATTTAATAAACTTAATCAATCAATCAGGGGTTTGCAACATATTACTCATATCTGGGTCAAAATGCGACAAATCCAGAATTTGAGCCAATAAAGCAATTTCTTCTGGATGGTCCTCAATACGCCTTTGCTCTGGACTCTCGCGAAAAGACGAGTTATCCACTTCTGTTGACCGCAAAGACGCAGAGCCAATTTGAGGATCAGGCCATTGGACTGCCGTATTATAAAGGTCTAAATTAGTTTCGCCAAGTCCACAATTTAGTGACGATGAAAACATGATCTTTAATGTCATGCTTGGATTTAGGAGCCTGTTTAATTCGCATGATGCACGGATTTCTCACGCCGGATACTTTTCACAGAGGAATCAACCGATATTTGAAGGCTTGGTATAAATTTGTGACGCATCATAAATATTTTCATGAGAGAAATGCTGTCATTCCTGCATCTGCTAATTTGCACATAATAGGGCGAATAAAGCAACAGAACAAGACAATCTATTCGATGCATTGACCGATCAAGGCCATGAGGATGGAACACTGCCATTAAACTTAACTGTTAAGGAAATTATGGATCCGTGGACAAAACAACGAGGCTATCCGTTGGTCAGAGTCGTTTCTTCTGAAGAGGACACCGTTTATGTTCATTATGTAGAACTGCTTACTTTCGCAAAATATTTACAATAACAGTGTATCATACTTAAACGCATTTACATTATTGTAATTAGGAACAATTTAAAAGCAGCCGTGTTGCAAGGCAGACTGAACACGCATACTGGCCAATTCCTGTTGCGTATGCAACTGAGGATGATTCCAACTTTAATGATCATGTTCCAAAATTCTGGATTCCTGAAGGATCCTTGATGCGAACAATCAAATATAATACCTCAAAATGGATTTTTGTCAATCCTGAAACAACAGGTAGTAATTATTATCATTTAGTTCTCATATTTATGCTACCCAAAGGCGTGATATGCTTCATTTTCAATAGGTTTCTACCGGGTTGTTTATGATAAGAAATTGACACAACTACTACACAATCAATTTAATAAGAATTATAAAGTGATCAGTCCCATGGGCAGAAGTCAAATTTTGGATGATTATTTTTCACTTGCAACACAAAGTATGACCAATATAAATACCATGTATCTTCTTTAATCGCTAGCAGATGTATGTAATGTAATAGTACCTGATTTATTTCGTCGCAGTGGACATACCGATTAGTATGGCTTTAGATTTCACAAAGTATTTAGGACAGGAAACTGAGGACATTTGTTGGACTGTGCCACTTAAACATTTGCGTCGGCTGTACTACTTCTACAGTGAATATGAATTAACATTGGACAGCAGTTCTAAAAATGTCCCAAAAAAATATTTCGAAGGATTCAGGGTGGCTTTACAATATTACACAATTATTTAAAAAATGTGCTTATCTTGATTTGATTATACAAAAAAGTTTAAATGGTTTCACTACTCGTTACAGAATTATATGGTTCCTAAACTGGAAGGAGTTTTGAACAAAATTGGGTTAGAGCAACTGCCCACGGAAATTGGCTCAAAAGTAATTTTTAGAGCACGACTTCTTAATTGGGCGTGTAGATTGGGTTCTAAAAAATGCTTGGACTACGCCACTCGTTTATTCGAACTTTGGAAATTTGACGAACTTGTGAATCCGTAAATACAATTTTTCTTAATCCGTTTTAGGATATGTACGAAATACATATGCGAATATTTTGCCATTATTACTATCTATTTTGGTTGGCGTATAAATATAGTATACCGATTGACCTACGCGACTCCATGTATTGTTACGGAGTATCCGCTGGAGGAGCACAAAATTGGTTGTTTGCCTTACAACGCTCCGTCAATGAAACCAATACCAAAGATGCTTTGGTTCTCATAAGCAGCTTAGGATGCGTCAAGGACGAAAGAATTTTGAAATCGTAATTACAAAAATCCACGAATGAGATACATGCATTTCCTAATCGATCCCTATGACTTATTTTTACGCATTTTTAGTCTTCTTGAATCTACGCTTGTTGGTGAATCAATTGACAAGTTGAGGATGAGCGTTATAATTGACGCTGTTGCAGATAACCCACTTGGAAGACCAGTGTTGATGAAATTCTTAAAAGACAGTATTCCCAGTATACAGAAAGAGTTTAACACTAGTTTTAATTCCGTCGTGTACAGAGCATTTATGAAACTCGGGAATCATTTACACACGGAAGAGGAGTTACTTGAGGTATGTATACGGCTACATTTGTACGTAAATATGTTAACTAAATTCGACCATGATATATTTAAATTGGTTATAATTATTATAGCTACAAAGCATTATTGAACTTCATTCGAGCACAATTGGAGACATTCTCCCAGCAGTGTCATCATTCGCAACTGATGTTAGCGAAAATATCGCTTGGATGTCGAAGCATTACGAACCAATGAAAACTTGGTTTGACAAGCAAACAAAGTCAAGCATTTCAACGATATAAAATTGTCGTGTATTTATAACTTTTCAAGTTGTCTTTGACTTTGTGTTTATTTATTTATTTGGAATAAATTGATTGAAATTGATTAACATAATAATTTACCTGTTTATTTACTAAAGTTATTTATGTAGGTGTAGGAAGAGGAAGAATTTAATTCTCAAACCTTACATTGCAACAGGTGTCGATTAATTTGTGAATATGAATTATTATTCAGATGAGCTAAATATGTTCCAAAACATATAAAATGGGTTACACTTTGTCCTTCAAAATAGTTTATCTGTTCTTGGCATTTCTAAACTTGCCTGATTTTCTAGACTCGTCTACTGTAACTTAAAAAATGAAGATTTTCTGCTACTTGTGTGCTTTCGTCATTTGTATGATGCAGCTACTGGTGAGTTTACAGAGTTTTTGATTAAAATTTTGCATATATTATGTTCTAATAAAAACTTATGTGCAAACGCGTAGGAGGTATCCGTTTCCGCACCCAACCCTCAACAACAACCAGGTCTCCTTGGTGTCCTTAACAGTTGGGGGAGTGGGCTTCTTAATGCTGCAAACATCACTTCCAATGCTTTTGCAAACGGAAGTGACATAGGTTTTCAGGGATTTGGGAGTAAGCAGACAAAAATATGGAGTAGTTAAAAAGTAACAATTAGTCTAATTTAAAATGTTTCAATCGTAGATGGGCTTCAAAGTTTTTCCAATGGATTCATTAACGTCTTTAATGCTTCTGCATCTGGGCTGGTGAATACATATCAGAATTTGGCTGGATGAGAATATTTTCATTCTCTTGTTAAAATTAAAACACGATAAATAAATATATGGACTGAAAATAATTGTATATCAGTCATACATAAAAACATGAGTGCATATATTTGTCAATAATATGATCATAATTGCTCATTTGAAATTACTCATCTTCTCCAGTGTCAAAAACTGGTGGATTATCAAAGTGGTAAAGCTGACGCTGAAAATTTAAATTCCAATGAAATCAAAGTGTTTGGCATTAAATAAGATACGTTTTTGCATCAACAAACCTCTAAGGCTTGACCCAGGCGCTTGGTGAAAGCAATTTCTGGTTGGTGCACCTGTATTTCAATTCTTTCCATGAGTTCAAATTTATTTTCCAGCTCTTTTAAATCAGAGTTGACGTTTTCATGGTCCTCAACTACAACTGCTAATTCTGCTTGAGCGTCATCCAGCTTGCGTTGAAGGATCATCACTTCGGGGTCAACTTTCTGATCGACGACGACCTTTGCTTCCTCAACCAAGGAGACTTCCAATACTTTCTTATACGAATCCAACGTCTGGTTCAGCTCACCTCGCACTCTTTCCAAAATGAAAGCTCTCGTGGAATCGCTTAGGGCCACTTGACGAATCAATTCGTCTGCGAATAAATTATAACCCTCTAATTAATTATTTCCCTAATTACCCCATTACTTACTCAAGAAATCACGCAAAATATATATTATTTATGCATATGATGAAAATGTTTATTTTACCAAATAACTCCATATGCAGTCCAAATCGAATAGGACAATATCTTGCATTTCTTTGACTTTGTCGGTATACTAGTTGTTGATCCAAACGTTCGTTCATGGCTGTGAGTTCAGCCCGAGTTACTTGCTCAGTGGACACCTTGACATTGAATTAATTTTCAGAATACACATTAATTATCACCAAATAAATAAAGTAGCGTCTTACTTGCTGTTTCATACGAATTCCGTTCTCAGTCCAATATTTGATTGGGAAGAGAATTTGCATGAGCATTTGCGTGTTCTTGAATGGAACTGACTCCTTTCGCTTGCACCTCTTATATTCAGCAACATAGTCGATCAGTCGAGGATCAGGGATGAAGCGAAGGTCCGAAGTGCGAAATAGCCAGTACTATACATAAATACGTACACACGTTATAAGTAAATAAATTTGAAGGCAACTTCTACCGATATCCATCGTTGTATTTATGGAATTTACATATATTAACTATTTCTTATGCTTGCCTTAAGCCATTCGACAGTTTTCTCCTCTGGAGGGTTGGGTTCATCCGGAGACATAACCTCAGGCTCCTGAAGTTTTAAAAATGCATGTTCTGAAGGGAAAGTCCGTCCATGAGCGCTCGACATTGTGCAATTGTTATTCAAGTCGAATAAGCTTTAACATACTTTATTGACCGGTTTGCAATTTAAACTTGTTCATATACTCATGCCGCAAAATAGTATATCAATTTTAATACTGCAGATGATGGGACACAGCAGAACAAAAAGGAAAGTCTTGTCACTGTGATGGTGGAAAAATTCCCCCATAAATTCCATAATGGAATTAAAAACGGTTGCCCCTGGCGCCCGTGGGGACTGCAAATAGAATTTCCTTCTCTACTCGCATTGCATTTTCGTGACAATTCGATGCGAGACAAGAGAAAATAATAAAGGAAAACACCCGACCGAAAGCGCACTTTTATTTCATGGGATGACGTCGACTGACAATGGCGACAAATGCAAGAGATCATTCAATTCTCGAGGGATGGAGGGTTGATGCTCGTTGTCAATCGCCGATGCGCCTCAATGTTTTGGGAAAACAGTTTTGATTAGTTTACTCTCATTGAGCTTGTTCCCACCAATTTATACATTTCAAAGGCCAATACAGAATTAATACAGCTGTACGTGAGCAAAGTTGAGGCGAACCAGAACTGCAGGACACCCATCAATCCAATAAATAATAATCATAACGGGGAGAAATGGGGGACAACAACAATGGGTCGTCGAGAAGGAAACTCTTCCGATAAAGTGTGTGTGACTGCGTGAAGGAAATAATTTCGGCTATGCATTCAGGAGAGATGAGCAGTCTTGCCGTGGCGGATGTGATGATTGTATGTACGAGGGTATTCCGGTAGGAGTTTGTATGTAAACGAGTGTTTTGACTCCGTCCGAGTTCTTGACCCTCTATACTCCATATTAACTCTTACCTGAGATATTAGTCATAAATGCATGCCGATAATTATGTTCCGTTACCAAATTATTAAGAAGGCCACATTTCTTACAGGAAATCAAAAATTCTAACTCGAAAACCTAAAAAAATTCGTTATTATGTAAGCTTGTGAAATCAATTTCGAGACCTAGCGGAGGAACATAACCATCTAAATAGCATCGGATTTTAGTTTTCTCATTAGTTCTAAAGATTTTGAGACTATGCATAATAAAGATTTTTTGCATTCAATCAAGCTCTTTGACGTTCAAAAACATTCATCAACATACGCATATTTTAAGAGGCTTGTTTCACTACAAATTTTAAGAATAAATCTGCGCCCCAGATTGGTTCCACAGCATAAAAAATAAACGTGGCGTGGATTTCTAATTTGGAACTCTGAGGTTAAGTTTACGGATATAGTGTGAAAGTAATTCTTCACATGAAGGGATACAAAAATATCATATTATGCAAAATATGTTCAAATTTTAATAAACTTTAAACAAAATTGGTCCGAAACAATGGCCAGCATTAATATTTTTTCATGGTCCTACCAGACAACCCTCATATGAGTTGTCGAAAAGACGAGATGCATCAAATTTTAAGCGATATGATCTCCACATCAATCCACACCAATTATTATTATCATTATTATTTATATGTACGTATTTATAACCTTTGCTCTATTTTTATGCTTATCACGCCAAGTGAAGAAATACTCGAGTCACTCTTCACTCTCGTCATCCAAGCGTAAATTCTTTGTAATACGAATGTTAAGGTACTACATTTTACTAAAGGGACCAGCAATGAGAGAAATGATTTTTATTACACTTCTGCATACTGCATGAGGAAAGATTTAATTTTAGATCCATCAAAATAGATCAATGGAATTAAAAGTGATTGTCTCAAATTTAAAGTAAATAAATGCGCTTATTACATATGAAGGGGCCACTGTGAATATATATTGCCTACATATTTTACAGACAGTGTTTACTGGTGCTTAACCATTTTAAGAAATTGTAAATAAGGGTTTAAAATTCAGACAAATTGTTGAACGGATGTTTCAATAATTTCAATTTATTTCAAAAATTATGGCAAGATTATTTGACCCCACTTCTAAACTTGTTGGAAACATTCAAGGAAATGATTGAATGAGCAGGGACTATAAAATTGTACCTAATTATAATATTTTGAATTCAATTTTTTGGTCTGTTACGACTGAACACTCATCCCATCATTATAATGCCATCCATCCATTTAGTTACATGTCCATATGTACATACGTAGTATTCAAGAAATGATAAACGATAGCTGGCTGTTTGAAGGAAGGAAGAAGGCACAATTTCTCTTGTTCTCAAATTCAATCCAAATCCCAGTGGGTGTTCGGCCATAAACATGTTATCTCTCGCTCCCAAGGCGCCTCGAAACTCCCCATTTGACGAGATCCCTTTAAAGGGATCACTTTGACCATACACCTTCAAAAAAGGTTCCATTCTTCTTCAGATTATTGGGATCATCAAAACGACTCAAAAACAATGTTCATGCTACTTCGTCTTTACCTTCTGCTTTTCCCAGAAGATAATCTGGATCAGTTGCCCTCATTAAATTACACACATGAACATTACACTCCTGTACTGCCAACGTGCTCTTTAGTTTATTGATTGTAATATCAGAATCTTACAGTGGGCCATGTCATGTTGGTTCATTTTCAGCCTGTGTGTTCCAATTACTGCCACTTTTTAATAAGTTAAACAAAAGGAAAGTTACATTACAGGATTTTATCGTGGACATCAACCACAATTTACGATGTTAATAACTCACCTACTCTCGTTTCTGTCAACCGTTATGATTATGGGAAAATTTCTCGACAGGAATCTTGGTCGTCATGATGTCGGTGCCTTAGACCCAATGTGACTGCATCTGCTTCTGTTTAGAGGGGTTGACAATGCAAGTTCTGAGTCTGCATTTTTTATGGTGACAGTCCAAGTGATCATGTAAACGAAAAACAATATCATCACTTGTTCCGAACAGGGTAAACAGATGGCCATGGTCTTGTTCTTAAAGGGTTGATTGAAATTCAATCAATCCAGCTCATCTCGAGATTCAGTGAGACGACCGACGCTTTGTTGATTGAGGGAGTAAGACGGATAGATGTGCATCATCTTCATGCGTTGTAAGCCACTTAGGATTTGTTGACGCTTCTATTTTTCCAACTCCATCGAAAATTCTATTACGTAAAGCCTACGTCTTTCTTGTATTCTCATTGTGGATCCACAGGATCCCTTTCGATGCGGTCTTTGCAATTTCAAACCAGCCTTGTTTCGTATTACGGCTGGACAAACCGTAAGATTGTAGTAATACACACACACACACACACACACAAGCTCTTTCAAAGATCCAAGAAAACCTCACAAAGTCCACGAAGAGTGAAGCCGATGCCAAGTTGGTCTTGATTGATGGTAAGATAACCAAGCTGAAGACAACGTGGTAGTTGTCAGCAGGGAAGGGATCTCATGAAAAATGGTTTTATGGCCCTGCTGCTCCAGTGTCCGACCTCAAAGGTTCATACGAAGAAAGCATTATTAGATTCCGATACAATGATGCGATTATTAAGACGGAAATGATGGAAACTCTCTCTCGCCGCACTTTTCAGTCTTGACTTTAAACTCTTGGTACTCGAATGTACGGTGGCCTTGTGGAGTGCGACAATGATGAATCCATATTAGCGACGGACGTCAGGTTTCTCTATTCGAGATCGATTTCGGATGCCTAGACCAATATATCTTATTTCGGTTGTCTCTCCGACCCTACTTATTCTTAGAAATCAATACTGACAGATTGTGGTCTTTATGAACTTTAATGCTTCAAAAATTTGTAAACGTATAAAATGAATATATGAAACAATTATTAAATAAATTACAAGCAATTGCACACATACTTTTGGCAACTGGGTTTATTAGAAACGTTTTAAATACTCTCGACCATTACAATGGGTGGTCAATATGAACTTACAAAAATATTAAAATCTTTCAACATGAAAGCGGTAACCTTGTATTCGACACATTTGAGAATAATGAAAAAAGTTGAACATATTGAACGGAGAAACATCAGTCTTGTGGAAGGACATGGACGAAGTGTGACGATTATCGTGACCACCCGTAATATCCATTGCTTGATCCACCTCCATAGTCGTACCCATTGTTGTACGCGCTGTTGTCCTCGTACCCGTTGGTGCCGTACACTTGACCCGGGGTCTGAGATTGGTAATGATAGTCCGTCGTGGCAGGGAAGTTCACGTTTCCATATCCGCCACCCTGGCTGTAATCATTCCCGGAATAAGAGGGAGCCCACCCTGAACCCCCCTGAGTCGGTGGGTACCAACCCCCATGACCACCCCCACCTAATCCGTGTCCGAAACCTTTGCTCTCGTGGATTTTCTTGGCAATGAGGGCCGCACCCCCCGCAGCTGCAACAGCACCCACACCCACGACTCCCAGCAATGCCTTTTTCGCCAACAGAGGCTTCAGCTGTCCTTTATCCACAAAGGCTTCGAAATATTTATGGCCAAAAAATCTGGCTGCTGAAACAATGCACAATTGATTCAACTCACGGTTTCAAAGGAAAATTTGATCTACGACTACCAGTGGGACTAGTCTTACCTGGACCTGGTCCAAAAACAGGGCCAATTTGATACTCTCCTTCAGGAATTACACATAAAGTGGATCCAATTAAGTAGACAAATAGTAAAGTTGAACAGGTTTTCGATGCCATTTTTGCAAATGCTCTATTTTCAACGAGATACTGTAGCTCAGTATAGTTCAAGTGGCTAAAGTTGAATGAGCTGTAAAATCAGAACACAAAATATTTATACAAAAAGTAATCTCCGCAAACCATCTCGCGTCATTACGCATTTTAATATAGTGACTAATTTACTTTACTGCAGGTCCTATAAGGCTTTTACTTCGGAAAACCCTAAAATTGCGCAAGTCCAAGTTATGCAGATTCAACTTGCCAATTCGTAATTTCATTCATTCAGTTGGGCTATCCCAACATGATTGTAATAACCAAGCTGACATAACACCGCTGGCTGAATACAATGGGACTCTGTAAGAAAGACGTGAAGTTCCGTTTCCGCCAACAATGCATCAACAACACACCTAGCAATTCGCTTGCATGACTCATTTTATTGCGTTATGCAGAGATGATGACGACTCTATGCAGCAGGATCAACTCAACTTCACGTTAGTCGTTTACAGTGTGTAATGCAAAAACAAGATGCACATAAATGTTCGCATAAAATCAACCAAGTAAATGAGAGGCATTGAACAGTAAAAGTGAATGTAACCTATTCGTATATTCCTGTCAGCTAGATCCGCGTTAGTCCAATAACCCAATTCCTCACCACGAGTTGTGTCGTTGTATTCGAGGCGTGGGTACAATGGGCATGTCATTGTCATGTCTTTAGTCAAGTCAGCTCTGTTGTTGTGTCATCCTCTTTTTACCATAATTGTAAATGTCTGGATGAACACACGTTCATGAACCTTTTACAATCTTATGTAGGGCAAAACCCAATGTAATGTCATATTTACTATACTGCATAATTCAGTAAGTTATGTCAATTGTTATTAATACGCGTCTTAAAGTAGTGACGAAATAATTAATGGACAGTTGCGAATAAATGGTGTTAATGACCCTTATTAACATGCATAACATATGCAAACACTTATTAGCACTATACTTGACCAAAGGTAGCCTTTGAGCACTTGACGTTTGAAAATAATGCGTGTTTACCAATGCAAGATTTTAAGTTCAAAGTTAATTGACTGAATTGGCAAACAAAAAGAAACTATTAACGAACTACATTTTTACAAACCAAATGCACGATGGATGAGTTGACATGAGATTTTGAAAAGGTATGTAACACCAGACTAACGAGCAGTGTCATTTTATTTTATGTTTGTGTTCATTACTCACATCAACATCAGATCATCCCTTTAATCATTATTGGCCATTAATTCCTATTCAAACATTGCAAAGTCTTATGTAGAAAACACACAGGGGCAAAAAGTAACATATGCGTAGAACACATAACAACCATGCTGCGAGTAGTTAAAATTTACTACTGCTGCAGTTACATACAGACATATCACATATTATTGCACAGACCAGTTAGCAGGATAACAAATACGGATTGACAGAGTGGAGTCATTAAAATTAACCAAGTGATGATTACAATGATCGCTGGCCATTAAAATCGTTTGATTTATGACCAGCCACAAAGCTATTATTGAAAAACACTTCTCACAAAAGCAACACAATTTCTCAAAAGTCCAAAACCATTCTCTTACAAGATTTACACGTTGTGGGTATGTACCAGTCTTCTCGGGTAGTCTACGTATTATGTGGGCGATGGGCACTAGGGGAGAAACTAGGAGGATGAATAGATACCTAAATGTTATGGTGCCTCCAGAACAAGATTCCTTAAATGAACGTTCCTCTCATCAAGTCCCTGCAGTTGGTTTCATTATCTAGATAGATACCTTTCTCAGGCTAGCTCATTGTAAAAAAAATTCACTGAAACTTTCCAAGAAATTGGGTAGCCAGAAGATGGATGCTATTATTTATTTAGTCTGTTACATAGATTGCAATACGTAATTCCTGTTGAGGAAGTAACTACAACCCGAATATTTAAAATAGAATTAATTTGCTTTTTAAGTTTTTTTATCAGAGTTATTACATCTGCAAGTGTTGCATACATATTGTACTTTTAGGAAAAAGGTATCAAGTTTCATCGAGCTTCCTGTTCCTGCCTGCGTATTCATGAGACATATTCCAAAATATAAACCTTATTCGTGTCAAATTTTGATGCACCTTGACGAGAAAGAGATGAAGTGGGTTGGATTGGGGGTGGTAATGGATGTGGTGGTGTGAACAATGTAGTTTTCTTGTTCTTGCACTTTGTGGTGGGATTTATTTAATGGCATTCGACACCACAACCATTTCATCGCCAACTTTGATGCTGCTCTTTTCCGCGTTTTTTACACCCATCCGACGCAGCCGAGGGTGAGAGTTGATGAAGAAAGGGAGAAGAATGGGAGGAAAGCAGAGAAGAATAATGGAAATTTAGGACATCATCAGTTCTCCTTATTTCGGCCCAGGAGAGGGATGGGAAATAATAAAAGATTTCTGACACTCTTCCATTTCTCTTCAGTCCATTTTCGGAAACCAGCTCAAATCATGAATTATTCTTACTTCGATCAAGAGGAACCTCGCCTCCCCCCAAACTCTCTCCCCTTTCTTCCTCTTTTTTAACTTTTGATTATTATTTGGTGTAAAATGGGTGTTCACTCTCGCGCTGGGAACACCTTTGCACAAAGCCTCATGCCGGCCTTGGGTGAAGAGGTCGGATTCTGAGCAAGGGATTGTCTAAAATATTCAATTAAGTCTATTATTAAAATCACCCTTTCGAAATTTGAGAATTTTGTCGAAATAGATGAAAAAGTTTCTGGCTCAAACTGGAAAATCCTGTCTACGAAATGTTTTGCTTGTTGACAGCAAAAGCGTATTTATAAATCACAACAATGATGATGATGGAACCAATGCTGAACACTTTCTCCTCCTGTGACATTTTCCATTAATTTGTATTGTTGTAATGAATTTTGATCCATCTTGAACCTGACTCACTTTGAATTATTCGTAAAATTAGAAAAGTTTGCTAACCGTGTTACTGTTAAAATTTCAACCCTATGCCCATACTGTCCCTAAATATATAACATTGGTTAACAATACTTATAGATATATGTGCACAAAAAAGTGTAATACTTGCTTCCAGTCTTGCGTTTCAACAGAAAAAAAGTGAGTTTTTTTGTCCAAGATTTAAAGTCTCGAGATTTGGAAGGAAATCAGATAACTCTTGCATTCCTACTTAATGGGCCGAGGTTACCTTGTTCTTGTTAAATAATAGAACAACGCGTCACTTTACGTTTTCGAAACAATAAAATAAATCCGGTCGCACTGTAAACAGATTCAAGTAGTAACTGCCAACTTGAGCCAATCTTGATTAAATACACTCGTTCCTCTTTGTTGTGGAAATAAATACTGGTGAGAGATAAGATTTTGGAATGTGGAATGAAAACAAAGTGAAGAGTGAAACGACTGTTGCCTCATTTTGACGGATCTTTAGAGAAAGACTTACAATAATTGAGAGTTGAAACGCAATAGAAAAGAGAGTCGACACCATTTAACTTTTTTCAGAAAAGAGTTTAGCAATATTTCGCCTTCATGGACTGGCATGTGACACATACACAATTGATATTGGTCCATGTAATTGAATTGAATTTTGATCTTCCTTCACCTTAACCTGCATTTGCGTTGCATAGTTCATGCAGAATGCGCATCACTAATAATTTCAAAACTGCCATGAAATCATGTCAAATGCCCTTCTGCAGTTCTGCCCTTTTATGTTTTGATTGGCGTGGACATGGACGTAATATTTTGGGGAGCGGTGGCCGCACTGTAAATGCTCCATTTATTCGGGTGTGTCCCTAGCTGTCGCAGTCAATGTCAAAACCAGGCTTCCGTCTATACAGCTTTTGCATTTCTTCAGTATATGAATGCATTTCCAGACGGTTTTCTCGATCCGCTCACTATATTTAATATAAAAGACAGTGGCGGATAGAATATTTGTCCAGAGGTAGCGATGCCCACCACTTCCGCAAGCAGACTTTTACGGCTTCAGTTGGGTCACCCTCTTCCATTATGTGCACACAAACGATAAGCGAGTGCCTTATTGGTTCCCCACCCCCGACACATTTCTCTGTGCGGCGAGCAACAACCAAAATGCATTCGAAGGTAACGACGAGAAAATGTGGGGATGAAAAAAAATCAAAGGGAGTCTGTCATCTTGATCAATGATCATGATCAAAGAAAATGCAACTGCACCATAATAGTGGTTCTAAAATGAGTTTGTCAAGGGTTTCTTGGAGTAAAGAACAAACAATATGTATTTGCACCGACGTTGCGTTTGTCGGTCTCTAAAAGTGAGTAACCGTCACGGACAGTTGTATTTATGTATATGCAACTTTAAAATTTAACAAACTGGAATTTGTCTCAGAATTTTGTTGAATGATGTTACGAAATGCCATATCGTGCACTCAAGATAGATTTAAAATCGTAAATTATTGAACAATTCAAAGAATTTATAAAATGTTATTCCACTCGTTCGTCGTATTTAAGGTACTGTATGGTCCACCTTTATTTCTTCCGTGGAGCCTTAATGTCTGGGAAATGGATGAAATTACGGAATGCTCTCTATACAGATATTTCTCATAATGGATCAATTTCACCCCGTCAGCAATTACAATTAGATTTCTCACAGCTCGGAAAGTTTCATCTGCCAGATAGTGATAGCTATCATCATTAATACAGTCATTACAAAAGTATGGAATGAGCAAGAAGAGTGAGATGTAAAGATATTACTTGGCACGATTAAAGGGATTGAAAAAAGTTCCGTATGATGCAATCATGACATGAACTATGAGAGAGTGAGTTGATGGCTCAAGAAAATGATGACAAGGCGGCGAACAAGCACTTTCCTCCTGTTCAACTTCAACTCGAAAAATGAATAAAAATAATTGGATGATGATGAAAAGCCTTCGGAGAAGACAGCGTTTTTGGAAGGGCCACAATCCAGTAATACCGATAATAAAGGAGGAAGGACGGATGTGTATGGCGAGATTGGACATAAACTGACGAATGGTATATTTATTCGGGTCAGTCAGTCGATTTATTTTCATGCATGCAGTCAGGTACATGTGGAATGGATCATTGCTGCCAAGTCACAATTTGTAAGAACTCAAGGGTCCACTTAACATGGGCGTTGCTCGTGTTAATGTTGTGATTATTGTTATTGCCGTGTAATTTTTTAGCTCTCTCTCCCTGATTCTAAATTTGATATAAAATATCCACTGGCCGATGTAATCTGCCAGGTACGAAGAAGGGGTGCTTGCACAAAAGGAGTAGGCAGAGGGTCTTGCTTCAAATTATAGATTCAGTTGCAGCAAATTACACACTGCTTGCAGATACGTCCTTACATAAGTATCCATACGTCCATAGATGTGGAGATTATGATGACTCAATTATTTCTAGAATGAATTAAATAAAATCAAAAGGTACTGCAGTCTATACAATAATCTAAAGATTTTCCTGATACATTTCAAATGTACAGACCATTTTGCTTGTGAGAACTCACATCTGTCCAGGACTAGAAAAATATTAGTAAAGTTAGAAACATGCAGCAAGCAATTTACTTGGCAAAATGTACGTTTCCTAACGTGTTCTATCCATTCGTAGATTTTGTACATAGGCTCTTTTGAAAATTACTAATTGTGCACTGCGATTATAGTCAAAGGGGAGCAGACACCAGATTACTCAGGTAGAATTTAGCATCTTGTTGAAGGATAATTCCACTAAATCTCCCTTCTGCTGCTGATACAATCTCTTCACCCTTTATTTCCTAAACACATGCTTTCTCTTTGAAATCTTGGTCCCGTTGAGCCTATTGTGCAGATCAAATTTGTTGCATCTGTCAGTCATGGAGAAGATACATATTTGCCTGGCTCAAACAAGGAGTGGAATCCTAGCGCATATTAAACTTCAATTAAAAATCCCTCTATGCAGCTTTAGCCTTACGTAATATTGAGGTAATATTTTATTTTCTGCAGAGTAGCTTGTGCTCCTGGGCTTGCAGGGATTAAATTTCATTTTATATAATCAAATCGTATCCATCACAAGAATTAGAATTACGAAGAAAGTTTTTCATTCATTTGGGGGAAATCCCCCCGAATCATGCAATTTCTCCTGTGCTGGATTTTCCTCTCTCCCCGAGGAACCATTTTTCAAAGTTCCGAGCAGTGAGGCGCTTCCCCTCTCAGCCACCCACAACTAATGCAACTCCAGTTTCTCACCGTTTTATAGAATTATAGAAAAACTAACGGGGATCAAAGAATATTAGTCTTCATAATTCTTAAATGTAATATATAGCGTTTTCCGCAGTTTTACTGCATAGCTTGTATTCTAAGTAACCATAAATATATATTTTATATATTTTTCTGCGATATTTCTGCGATATATATTTTGCATTGGGTAATTAATTGTGATCATTTGTGATTTAGTGCTGTTCATTACTATGTGATATTAATGTGTATTATAAATGTAATTAAATTGTCTAATAAATCTAGTAACCATGAAATAATTTTTTATTAGTAACATATTTTATCACAATATACAATCACAGCACAGCTTTATAAATTAAACGATCACTAGCGGAGTATTAAAACCATGAAATAATATAATTTTTTTTAATTATCCGTGTGTCTTCAAGTGTTTCTGGAGTTTAATTTTTGTGGGAAAAGTCTTTTCGCAGATACTGCATTTCACACCACCTCCTGGTGCACCATGTTTCGTTATCATGTGATGTTGGAGCGTTTGCTTAGCTTTAAACGATTTGCTGCAGCTGCTGCAAGTATATGGTCGGTTATCAAAGTGTGTCTTCTTGTGGACCAACAGGTTAGCAGAATGCGCGAATACTTTCCCACACCCTGCAACGTCGCAAATAAATGGGCGAAGACCAGTGTGGGTGTTGATGTGCTCCATAAGATGATCCCGGCGAGAGAAGGATTTGTCGCAGATGCTGCAAGGGTACGGTTTCGCTCCCTTGTGTCGACCAAGGTGGCGAGAATATGTGGTGCGCCATTTAAAACTTTTGCCGCAGCGGCCGCAATTATACGGATGGACGTTGGCGTGGATGACCGCGTGAGCATCAAGGTTGAATTGACGATTAAAACATTTTCCGCAGCGGCTGCATTCAAAAGGCTTCTTCCCAGAATGAACTGCGATGTGCCTCTTCATAGTCCAAAATCTGGAAAACGTTTTCTTGCAAATATGGCACTCCCACTTCTGCTGCCGCTTTTTCTTCTTTGGCGCTGCGTCACAATCATCCAGACCCATTTCCTCGACGGATTTCCGCTTCCCCCTCACGAAAATCTTCACCCCTTGTGGGCGTCGGTAGGAGCTGCTCCAAAATCCAGTGGTGAGGTCGACGACGTTGGCGATGGCTTGGTGGGTAATGGGGTGGAGGAGCCCTTTTGAAATAGCAGTAGCTGAAATGGGGTCCTTGAACGGTCCAGCGAAGATACTAATTTGCTGCTGCAGCACTGGTGACTCCACGGGAGTGAGTGGGACTTGACGCTGCGTCGTGACATCGTAGACCGTCGCGTGGCGGAAGGTCAGCTCAGCTTGGAGGAGTCGGTCACGGCAGTCGGAGGGAATCTTGGCGTGGATGATGGGATAGAGCTCCTTCACAGTTTGTAGCAGCTACATAAATACACATAAATATTTAGTTAACAAAAAACTAAAATTTCAGCTGCTGAAATAAATATTTATGTATTTATTTACTTACACTGTCCACGTCCCACTTAGCAGCTGCTTTCACGACCTCCACGCACTTTTGTGGTCCAATTCCGGGAACTCCTCCGTAGAAATCATTCCCCCGGAGCAACGCCATCTTGAGCACCATTTCCGGAGAGTATTCCTCGTCTGGGATGTTGAGGGCGAGTGGGATGTCCTCCTTGGGGTTAAAATAATAACCCCATCCATTCTCGTCACAGTCAAAGAAGATCTGCAGCAGAAAACAAACACATAATTAAGTAGCTGCTACATATTTTATCATAATAAAAGCCGCAGCGGCAAAAAAAATACCTACATTTCTGCAGCCGTAGACTGCGAAATCCGAGTCAGAAGTGGCTATCATGTCGACATCATTTTCTCGCAATGAGTAAACTCCTTGACTGTCCATCTCATAAAGTGCCACTTGATATGGGATGTTGAGGCGCTGCGCCAACAGTACAAGGTGGGTCTGGTGATCCGACGACGTCGCCTTATATTGGGAGAGAGATCTCATCCAGCCATCGTCATCGTTGTGGCGCCGATGATATTGCAGTTGCTGCTTGAGTCTCGCCTTGCGCCGTTTTTGCTGCGTCTCGTACTTGGCTGGAAGGTTATCTCCATCCAGGAAGAGGACTGGATGGACATCATATCTGATCATCTTCTTCAGGAGCAGCTCCAATCCAGTGATTACGGCGTCCGTGGGGTCACCATTTGCAGTTGCTGCTTGTCCACTATACACACCTCGGCAAAAGAAGCCCGTCCCATCCAGGCCAATTCGCCACTTTTTGAATTCGGAGATGTGACGACGATCATGTCGTAAGCCGAGTAGTTGGAAGAAACCTCCAACACCCATTGTCGGTGGTCAAAATAAACTTTTATAATAAGTTGAGAGTTGGCAAAATCAATATTTTGATAAAAACTTTGAAATTTTGGGAGAGAGAGAGTTGTTCGCTCGAGAGAGTTTGAGGGTGAGGATGTTTGCTGAACAAGCAAACGTTCGAGAATGATGATGCATCCATTTAATTTTCTCCCACCAAATCTCATTTCGCCCCGTGAAAAAAGTTTGGTGCCGCTGCGGCTGAGTTTGTTTGGGCAAAAATATTGCAATATTATTTGTCTTGTTACAATAAAATAAATTTCATAAAATGGACATCTTTACTAATTTCTATTCCAAGATGTCGTTAAGACTCTTATCGACATATTACGAAAACCTCTCTGTACAGCTTTGCATAGCCCGAACCTGATTTTGTGATTTTGAACCGTTTCCACCATCAACATGGATAAAGCCACGTTATGCTCCCCTGCCTTGTAAAGTTGCAGTTTTTCAACTCCCCCTAAAGCGCATACACACATCCGACGACGACACTACTACCCAGTGGGCAATAGGTAAAACATTCATCTCGACGTGGTTGTTATTTGAGATCAGCCCTTGAAATCAATGAATCTTCGGGGTAAACAACCCTCGGGAGAAATAGCCATGAAATACTGGAGGAATTCTTCTTGAGATCTTTATTCTCCTTTCTCCATTACATTAGAAACTCGAGAAAAAGTTCCCCGTTTCCCTCTGCAAAAGACCAACTAAACAAATACCACATTATTACTTTCACTTGCGCTCTTTCTCCGTCTCCCTGAACTGCATTTCACCGTTAGGAACTGTAAGAGATATACCTCCCACAAAACTTGGTTAATAAACCTAAACTCTCTTCTCCATCAACTTCATAATAAAGCAAATAAATTGGCTCTATATCGATCCCGCTTTTTATACTCCTTCGCATAGGAATATAGCAGACCAAGGCACGCAATAACGAAAGGCCGATAAATTTAACCCGCACAATATCATCAAAGCTTTTACTGTCATGTTGAATTTTTTAATATAAAAAACGCAAAGAACAAATCATTTGCTCTATATCACATCCTTTTGAAGTGAATGATTGCCATTATGAAGAACGTCGATGAAGGTCTGGTCCAGTTTTTTGTTCAAATACGATGTAACTACTTATATCTATGTGTGTATGTGTCGACCTAAAGTGGTTGAGTTCCAGGCGAAATTTTTCACTTGTGCAACCTACCTTGCAAGCTATGTATACCAGGAAAATGGACGGTTCCGCACCAAATTCCAACACTGACAACTTTTTCCATTCACAAAGTCTTTGTCATATTTCCTCGGTTGCGGATAGTAAAAGAAGAGGAGAAAGTTAGAAAGTAAAAGCGAAATATATGGAAACTGGAAATAAATTGATCCAAGATAACATAAAAATTGAGGCAGACATAACTCAGGAGATACTCACCATTGCATTTATTCGGATGAAAAGAAAGCTGCGTTTGAATTATGGTGTTTGTAACAACCAAGATCGCAAGCCAAATTGTGTGTATTCTGGACAAGGCCAAGTGCAGCACGGTAAAGTAAAGAGACAGTAGTTTAGCTCTGGAAATGCATTTTTGGTCCTTGTACATAAATCCACACGCATTATTGTGAACCTTTTGCTTCACTCGGTGTAATACAGGTTTTTGGTAGGAGAGAGAAGACACTTTGTGTAAAGAGAAGCTAGAAAATATCGTGGTGTTGGTTGTGTGAACAGGAAAAAGGGAGATTCGTGATCCTACGGGCTCAGTTGGAGTTTGGACTCTTTGGAGCGACGATCTATGTTCTGTCCTATTCGAAGACATCTTCGTCTCACTGCTACCTGCTCCCATTTCTCTTTGTTTCTCAAGCAGTCCCATCGTTTCATGACAGCAAGGTTTGCAACAATTTTAGCTTGTTTGCTAACTGCGATGGGGATGCAAAGTGATTAAAATTATCCAAATGATTAAAGTTGCGAGTGCGCCACTGGCATTAAATTATAATTATTGCAAGTATCGCGATATGTCTCATTCTCCTCAAGTGACACCTTGGACTTATTAATGTTTAACGCCCATTTTGTTAATGAGATTCGCTGTGTGTGTTGTTGGTTAATGTGTTGGAGAAGATTGGAGGATTCGAGCATGCCTTGTTGCAGCACTTGAACTCTAAGTTTTGACTCGGTTTTTAGAGGATGATTGATTGACAAAAGTCCAATTTGGGATTCTGAAATTTATGATGTTCCAAGTGTGCGAGTGAAAATTATTGAGATTGGGAACCGAAAGTGATTTATGGATTACGCACTTTTACAAGTACAGCGTGTGTGTGTGTGCTGAATTCACTAACTTGTTCACAAATGTTACTCGGGTGCATTAGCCAAGGTACACAACAAGTAGACATTAATTTATTCCACTGAATCATTAGTCACTACGAGAGGAGTTGCGGTGCAGGAGGAATTTTCAGTGGTTCATTTTGTGTAAAACATTGACTCTAATGAGCAGCAAATTCTTGTGGAAAGAAGGACTCGCGATTTCCTATCACTTGCTAAGCGTTCCGAAAATCGTTCAGTGATTTACGCAAACGATTTTTCAGTTCACGGAAGGATCCCACGAGACCCAGATCGCGTCCAGGGACAGAGGACAGTTGAAGAGTTCCCCTTCTAGAGACTTAACAATTTTGTCAAAGGTAGGTACATTATTTTTGTTTGTGTTTTTTGACCTCATAATAAATGCATTTCGTTTCCGGTCACATATTGTGAACATGGCCAGCTCTCATCACTAAATAAACACAAATGCCAACAAAGGGACACAGGCAATTATTTTAATTCCATCTTGGATATTAAATTACGAGTGGTGATTCGAATTGGAAGTTTCAATTAAGAAAGAAGGAAGGACGGAAAAAGGAGAAAAATCAAGACCCGACTATTTCTTTGCAGCATTTGGTTCGTTCCACGAGACGGAGAGCTAAGCAATCTCTCTTCATTCCTTTACGCACTCCGTTTGCATACAAACTACCTCAGATCCGCAATTTCACCCAAGAAGTTACATTTACTGATTTCATTCACTTTCTTGATAATGGGGCGTCCTCGATTTTCCTTCTTGAGCTGACTAACATAACATTGCTTGAAAGGAATGGAATTGCAGATAGGGCGCTGAATGATACCGACGACTCTTCCACCATGGAGCTCTGATTTAGCGAGAAGGCCACTTCACTATTAAACGGTAGAGTTTGGCCGAGTGAAAGTTTGCATGGCTGGATCCAATGCTGGAATTTGAATGGGTACGAAATCAAGATTTCCTTGGAATGTAATTCAATGGGTGTTGAAATGAGGAGAAAGTTAGATGGCACGTTGGCTTCAAGTTAGTTTGGTTCAGTTTGAAGGGCGGTTTGCTTTGGTTTCGTGGGTCTCTAGATTTAGTGAGAATAATATTTAAGACCAGTCCACACACAGGAAAGTACGGATGAAGTTTAGGCATACACAAAAGATATTCCTTGGTTCTCTCTTCTGCTTGTCTGTTACTTCTGCACAATTTCTTCCTTGTTCATGGAATATTAATAAGATTTGATTTGTTCCCCAAACTATTCCAGATTGAGTGTAAATCTTCCACCTTCGAATACTAAATGGAATAATACTGCATCTCGTTGAAATCTTTATTATGTCAGAGAGGGGTTCGTTTTAGTTGCTCCCGTTTTTTAAATATTTCATGCTTTCGAAAGATCATAGTAGCATGAAAAATGTACACGACCTTTGAATCTCGTCAAATGATAATGTGCACTGTTATTTCTAAATGTTTTTGTTCTTTCCAAAGGTTCATAAGAGATGTACATGTATGGTTTTGGGAATCTGGGAAATGAATTTCGAGAATTTATGAAGTCGAAGCGTGTCGTAGGAATAGGACTCTTTTGGTGTGTGAGGTGTTTGGAGGACAGAAGACGGAAGAGAATAAGGGTTGAGTGGGGAGGAAAAGGAAGTCGTAAACTTACTTGATAGCCGACTTTCTTCGGGGTGTTCCTACCAGTCTGCAAACCAACCTTACGCCACACATCGACATGCACATATCTCCAGTCAAAACTCGCCTGATATCATAATAGCCCGAGTACTAAATAAATGCACTTACACCAACTTGGTCTGGAAAAGTTGAAATTTCATCATTTCTAGTGGAGTAATGTTGTCACTTTCGGCGTATACCGTAATTTAGATTACAACTTCCGCGGAAATAAAACTAAACTAAACCACCTCAAGGTCTGGCCTCCTGTTTATACGCATGTACATAAGTACATGCATACATATATGTCATGTGCGTATATTGCGTGTGTATGTGCAGGTTGTGTCCTGCCTGGCTATCTGCGAAACCAAACTTCCTGGTTGTTACTAAGATGTTCTTTTTTTATCCAAACTCACCTTATCTAAATAGAATTTTTTATTAATAAAGCTTTTGGTGGTAATGCAAAGCATGTGTGTGGGTGTTAGCAGTGATGTTGAATTTGAGTACACCCATGGATGTAAATGTATCATTTTTCTCCAAAGAGTATTTGTAGTAAGCAGACATGGTTGTGCATACGCCTTCATATTCGAGTTATACAATTACTGTAATAACATGCGTTTACTATATATAGAGCGATATAAGTTGCAATCTGACGTCGCACATTGTATACAACCGCATGAAATGAGGTACTTATTTTTGAGTGTGGATTCATGGCGAGTATTAAGTGACTGAGGATGAGTGCACACGCTGAGAATCTGCTGTTAAAAATGAAGAGAATGATAACATTGATTGAGGAACCTCGAGTGTAAAGGGTAAACAAAGATCACATTCAGGGCGTCCTTTTCACTTTATCTCGTCCACGGCGGAAGTGGATTTTCCCATTTTATCAGCCACCGTCACCTTAGCTCTATCTTGAGTTATTTAGAGCTCTCGCTCCCGTCTGCGTACGTACATAATAATAAACACCACGATCAACGGGGAGTGGCAGGCAGGCAGCGAGTAAAGCTTCGTTCCAGGTTTAACTGTTTATGAAAAAATTCAGAATTCCGCTACTCATCTCATTTGCACCCAACCTTCGTTTCGCTTTACGGTCTGTGAACACGCGAATGATACATTTAACAAAATTGTTTCATTATCAAAGTTGACAAAAAGCAATTCATGAGTCGGCAGATTTATAAGGCAAAACTCGCACTGGAAGCGAATCTAGTTGCAAGAAAATAAATGTTCTTCGAGGTAGATATTTCATTAGCGAAACGGGTCGGTGGCAGTATGTAGTTTCGTCCGTGGATTCACTCCAGAAAGCAATTGAATGGAATAATGAGATCCATAACATGGAAAAACTTCAACATTAATTTCTATCACTCAAAACAACATTCTTTCTTCACTGGGAACCAACTACCCGAAGGAAAGGAATGAAAGAAGGCCGTCTTGGCTGAAGACCTGGATGGATAGTTGGATGGATGGATTGATGTGAGGGGCGAAGGAAAAAAAATGATGATGACAGACATAATCGGATGAAATTTTAAAGAAAGAGGAACGCCCCACCAACAACCACCTTACCTGGACTCGTCATTACAAGAATTTACGCCCAATTTAATCCATGTCCGTCCTTTTCCTTCAGCTTTGAAGATGCTATCGCTCTTTGTTTTGATAAAGTATTAAATGAAGGCATCCAGTACATAAACAAGGTCCTGTTGCTGTTGTTGCTGTGTTTGTTGCTACCAATTACATCATTTGGGACAACGGTCCAGTTGCCTCTGCCGAAAAAGCTCCGGCCTTTAGTTATCTGTTGCATATTAGGGATATGACCCCACCGACGGATTTAATGGTGCCGTTTATAGCTAAATATTATTAAACATTAGGTGGTAATACCAGCTCAATCTCATTGTTGCAAAAATGTGTTGGTGGACTGATATTGATGACTTCAGTCTTCATCCATGATTGACAATTAATTAAAATATTTTCAGTTTTAACTTTTACATTTATTATCCACAACAGAACCTTATTGGTTCAACATGAATTCATTAAATTAAATGGACTGAAAAGGAAGTAGCAACAGCTCGTCTGCTTGTGGCGCATCAAACTCTCGTTTATTTGATCTATCTTTGAAGCAACACCCAAATCAACTTCATATGAATATGTACATACTTATTTACATACACATGTACACATCCATTTTGCTGCGATTCGAACAACTGACCATCCAAAGGTAAAGGATGCCTGGATGGATGGATGTGATGAAAAGATTAAATTATGACGGGTCTCGCGCATCCCTCATCTTTTGGTTGTATGATTTGTATGTATGCGTACATTTCCTTTGTTGGGCAGTAGTAGTGGTCAGAGAGACGTAGACAAACAAATTACTAAAATTAAGTACAGCAGCAGTTGAGTGACTTGTAAATTGAGTGAACATCGCAGTGGCCACAAGGGACAACGTTTACTTCAACGTAATTATTTTGTGAAAATTAAATGGATGCCTCCATTTCAATCTAAAGCAAACAAAAGTTCAACTTTATTTCAATTTTACAATGTAAATGACAAGTCAAAATGTTTGAGAATTGAAATATTCATTTTTTCGTTCATATGTCCTTTTTAAAAACCCACACGTGGAGAACATGATATAATTTCCTCATTTTAAGAATTTGACATGTCCATGTTATTTCCAGGATTTTCTAATACCAAATTCCCTTTATCAAAATATTGTTATCTATAAAAAAAAGCTCCCTAAGGTTTCAAATTTGTATCATGGTTAGTGTTTACATTATGGACAGTATATTTCATCAATGTGAACCATTCCGGATCAACTTCAATCTATAATGGTAAATAAACCAATTTCTAAATATAGTTTATCCGGTGGCAGCATTCCATTAAGTTTACTTTTTGAACCTTTGTTGAAATTCTCTTGATCATTTTGTTTTGTAAACTTGGCTGAGCACAACCTATAATCTAGGAAATAACTGGACCAAAAGTCCGTCCGCTTCTACGTCCTCCGACAGTTTTGAATCCCTGCGATAAAGTCTAAAAGGTTGCTCACTCATATCGAATCGAGTTTACTTTACGTTTTAAAATTCATCCTGTCTTGTTTACTCGGGAAACTATTCCTCGGACGTGGTCCCTCTGCTCAAAAATCCTGAGACTATCAAAGGCTATCAGACTTTTGGATCAAATTACTTAAGTCCACTTCACCCAAGATAGCCAAATAAAACTCACATATATTTCCCATGTAAAATTCACTTCATGTCGACACCACCATCACCAGAATAAAACTATGAACACAAAATTTACTCGTATCGCAAACATTATTCTTCAGTAGTGGTGGAAGAAAAAGAGTTGAGAGAGAGAGCGAGTCCTGTGGCTTTGTTCAAATAAAAATTTTACGATCCAGATCCATTTACACAGGACCAGGCCATGTTAGGCAGGGCTAGATTTCCTATGTGAACACTTAAGACAAATAAAACAGAAATAAAATGAATGCTGTTCATATGCAGTGTAAACAAATTGGAATTATGAATTTTCAAGCCTTCATTAGCTGTCAGTCTAACAATTTTATTATTATTTTGCTGCAGCGTTGTTGTCTGTTTCATGTTTTTTCTGTTGCTACCATGAGGCGAACTGCGTAAGATCAGAATCATCAGATAGGGACGACGACCAGACAGTAGTAAATGCGATCTTGATGGTCAGACGGTGTACTAAATAGGT